AAAAAGAAGCATATTACATGGTTCTTCAATTCACTAATAATGGTGACCTTCGCTTCTATTTACGTAATCATTTCTCAGAATTAGATTGGTCAACTAAAATCGGAATGGCAAAGGAGATTTCTAGTGGAGTTAATTGTTTACACAATGCAAATATTGTTCATCGTGATCTTGTAAGATACCTTTTCTACTTAATTTATTTCTTCCTTTTTATTATATTCGTTAATATTACTATCCGTTATAGCATGATAAAAATATATTAGTGCATGATGGTAGATTAATGATTACGGATTTTGGATTATCTAAATCATTAGACAATAGCACAAAATCTATTGGTGGAGGAACGTATGCATTTTCCGATCCACAATACCTCCAAAACCCATTTTTATATAAACGAGATAAAGCTTCTGATGTCTATAGTCTTGGCGTACTTTTTTGGGAACTGTCGAGTGGTGTATCTCCTTTTAAAGATATATCTGATCCAACAGGGATAACTTTACAAGTAATTATTGGCAAAAGAGAAACTCCTGTTAACGGTACTCCAGTTGACTTTATGAATATTTATTGTGATGCTTGGAATGGTGATCCAAATTTACGTCCTAGTATAGCCGAAATCCGTGATAAATTAAATTATATACGAATGGTTCCAGTTTATCACAGTGAAAAAGATATTAATATAGGTATTTCGAGTAATGATGTAGAATTGGATTCATCTAAACTAGATGATGCTGATGATAGCATTCAAGATACGAATTTAATAGGTTCATTATTTTTAATTAATTATTAGGATTAAATTAATAAATATTATTTTTTATTAATAACAAATTATTTACCTTTACAGAACAACGATTTAATCAATCGCATGTCGTTAGTCAAGATTATACAAATTTCAATTCGGAAAATTATATTACTATGGGAAAGAACAAGGAGGATCCGTTTGTAAGATTAAATAAGTTATTAGAAATTGATCCAAATAATGCAGAGACATTAAGAAATCGTGGAATAGAACACTATAAATTAGCAAGATATAGAGAATCATTAGCCGATTTAAGGAAATCATTAGAAATTGATCCAAATAATGTAATTGCATTAATAAACCGTGGAGCAACTTATTACATGATGGACAGATACAATGAATCACTAGCAGATTTAAATAAATCACTAGAAATTGATTCAGATAATCCATTTGCATTGGCAATCCGTGGAGCAACTTATCGCATGATGAACAGATACGAAGAATCATTAGCGGATTTAAATAAATCATTAGAAATTAGTCCAAATTATACATATGCATTAGCAAGACGTGGAGAAACTTATTGCATGATGAACAGATATGAAGAATCACTTGCAGATTACAATAAATCATTAGGAATTAATCCAAATAATGCAATTTCATTAGTAAACCGTGCAACAACTTATCGCATGATGAACAGATATGAAGAATCACTTGCAGATTACAATAAATCATTAGGAATTAATCCAAATAATGCAATTTCATTAGTAAACCGTGCAACAACTTATCTCATGATGAACAGATATGAAGAATCACTGGCAGATTTAAATAAATCATTAGAAATTAATCCAAATGATGCAAAAGCATTAAGCTATCGTGGAGCAACTTATCGCACGATGAACAGACACGAAGAATCACTAGCAGATTTAAATAAATCATTAGAAATTAATCCAAATGACGCATTTGCATTAAGACATCGTGGAGAAACTTATCGCATGATGAACAGATTCGAAGAATCACTAGCAGATTTAAATAAATCATTAGAAATTAATCCAAATAACGCATTTGCATTAGAAAACCGTGCAACAACTTATCACATAATGAAGAGATACGAAGAATCACTAGCAGATTACAATAAATCATTAGAAATTAATCCAACTAATGCAATTGCATTAGCAAACCGTGGAGAAACTTATCGCATGATGAACAGATACAAAGAATCACTAACAGATTTAAATAAATCATTAGAAATTAATCCAACTAGTGCAGATGCATTAGCAAGCCGTGAAGCAACTTATCGCATGATGAACAAATACGAAGAATCATTAGAAGATTTAAATAAATCATTAGAAATTAATCCAACTAGTGCATTTGCTTTAGACAATCGTGAAAAGGTTTATAAACTATTAAATAAAAGATCTAGATTTAAGCTTTGGTAATATAAAAGTTATTTGCATATTTTATGTATATTAAATCTAAATATATTTGTTTTCCGACATTTGAAGACTTGAATTATTTTCTTTTTGACTTATAATATTATACTGTATATGAAAACTTCTAAACAACATGCATAAAAAATGGTTACTCTTAATACAGTTTCGACAAATATTAATAAAATCTTTGGTTGTTTTGAATAATAACTTGTGTTATTTTAAACCAGAAATCAATTCTTGTTCATATTGAACTTTTTTCTGCTCGTGTTAATGTATTTATTATGAAAACTTGTCTTATATTCGAAAACTTTTTTTGTTAGGCTCTGTTGGTTAACAAGAATGATCTTCACCATAAATTTTCGTATAGACTAAACACACCACGCATACTGGACTTGCAACTCAACTTAATTTGGATGCGTTAACAATGTAGTATCGTTCAGAATACAATTGAAAAAAATTATCGTTATGTATAGTTATCGATATATTACTATTCACACCCAAATCAAAAGTTCATTGCTGCTGAAGTCAAAAACTTATTGAATTGGCAAATAACCATTCGGGCAATTTTTTTACAAGATGTCCCAAAAATAATGAATAAAATTCGAGTTATCCGGGGTTTTTGATAGTTCCAGAGCACTAGCTGAAATAATTTCTACGACATGTATAGACTGAGTCTAAACTCAAAAGCCAGAGAAATATCTGCGCATGGAATGGTCAGCAGAACCAATTAGGAATTTGTATTACTATAGTTCAAAACGTTAAATGTTACATTTTTTATGATTAGGATACCAATATTCCTTTTTGTTCACGTTTGAAAGATATAAGTAAATAACTTATTTTAATGATTTTCTTTTTAGCCTTTCCTAATTTATATTACCATTATTGTATTAATTTACTATATGCCCATATTTTAGCCCTTTGAGGTCATAAAGAACTAATATTCGGTATACTAAACATGTCAAATTGGTTTAAAGTTGCTATTGAACAAAAATACATTACGTCATTTGAGTATGATTCTTTTCAGAATTGGGAAGAAATAGGCAGAGGAGGGTCTGGTACTATATATAGCGCTTATTCAAGAGATATTGAAAAAACTATAGCTTTAAAGAGTTTATATTGCGATGATAATATTTCGTTGAATGGCTTTATTAAAGAAGTATTTTATATAATATCTATTTACGTCTTTATTTGCGTATTTACTGGTTTACTATATCTGATATTACATCATAAAATACACTATAAGGTCAAAAATATTACTAGAGTTGCACATCATGATAATATAGTACGATTTTTTGGAATCACTCAAGGTATATTAATTTTATATCTTATATAAAATCGACACTATCGGCTAACTAATTTTTTGAGTTAATTAGATCCGAAAAAGAAGCATATTACATGGTTCTTCAATTCACTAATAATGGTGACCTTCGCTTCTATTTACGTAATCATTTCTCAGAATTAGATTGGTCAACTAAAATCGGAATGGCAAAGGAGATTTCTAGTGGAGTTAATTGTTTACACAATGCAAATATTGTTCATCGTGATCTTGTAAGATACCTTTTCTACTTAATTTATTTCTTCCTTTTTATTATATTCGTTAATATTACTATCCGTTATAGCATGATAAAAATATATTAGTGCATGATGGTAGATTAATGATTACGGATTTTGGATTATCTCAATCATTAGATAATAGCACAAAATCTATTGGTGGAGGAACGTATGCATTTTCCGATCCACAATATCTCCAAAATCCATTTTTATATAAACGAGATAAAGCTTCTGATGTCTATAGTCTTGGCGTACTTTTTTGGGAATTATCGAGTGGTGTATCTCCTTTTAAAGATATATCTGATCCAACAGCAATAACTTTACAAGTAATTATTGGCAAAAGAGAAACTCCTGTTAACGGAACTCCGATTGACTTTATGAATATTTATTGTGATGCTTGGAATGGTGATCCAAATTTACGTCCTAGTATAGCCGAAATCCGTGATAAATTAAATTATATACGAATGGTTCCAGTTTATCACAGTGAAAAAGATATTAATATAGGTATTTCGAGTAATGATGCAGAATTTGATTCATCTAAACTAGATGATGCTTATGATAACATTCAAGATATGAATTTAATAGGTTCATTATTTTTATTTTATTGCTAGGATTAAATTAATAAATAATATGTTTTATTAATAGTAAATTATTTACTTTTACAGAACAACGATTTAATCAATTGAATGTTATTAGTCAAAAGTCTACAAATTTCAATTCGGAAAATTATATTACTATGGGTAAGAACAATGAGGATCCGTTTATACGATTAAATAAGTTATTAGAAATTGATCCAAATAATGCAGAGACATTAAGAAATCGTGGAATAGAACACTATAAATTAGAAAGATATAGAGAATCATTAGCAGATTTAAATAAATCATTAGAAATTAATCCAAACAATGCAATTGCATTAAGCTATCGTGGAGGAACTTATTACAAGATGGACAGATACGAAGAATCACTAGCAGATTTAAATAAATCATTAGAAATTAATCCAAATGACGCATTTGCATTAAGACAGCGTGGAGCAACTTATCGCATGATGAGCAGATACGAAGAATCACTAGCAGATTTAAATAAATCATTAGAAATTAATCCAAATAATATAGTTGCATTAGACAACCGTGGAGCAACTTATTACATGATGAACAGATGCGAAGAATCACTAGCAGATTTAAATAAATCACTAGAATTTGATTCAGATAATGCATTTGCATTAGCAACCCGTGGAGCAACTTATCACATGATGAAAAGATACGAAGAATCACTAGCAGATTTAAATAAATCACTAGAAATTGATTCTGATAATGCATTTGCATTAAGACTGCGCGGATTAACTTATCGCATGGTTAATGGATACGAAGAATCACTAGCAGATTTAAATAAATCATTAGAACTTAATCCAAATAATGTAATTGCATTAGAATACCGTGGAGCAACTTATCGCATGATGAACAGATACGAAGAATCGCTAGCAGATTTAAATAAATCATTAGAAATTGATTCAAACAATGCAAGAGCATTAGCAAACCGTGGAGCAACTTATCTCATGATAAACAGATACGAAGAATCGCTAGCAGATTTAAATAAATCATTAGAAATTAATCCAAATGACGCATTTGCATTAAGACAGCGTGGAGCAACTTATCGCATGATGAACAGATACGAAGAATCGCTAGCAGATTTAAATAAATCATTAGAAATTAATCCAAATAATGCATTTGCATTAGCAAACCGTGGAACAACTTATCGCATGATGAACAAATACGAAGAATCATTAGAAGATTTAAATAAATCATTAGAAATTAATCCAACTAGTGCATTTGCTTTAGACAATCGTGAAAAGGTTTATAAACTATTAAATAAAAGATCTAGATTTAAGTTTTGGTAATATAACAGTTATTTGCATATTTTATGTATATTAAATCTATATATATTTGTTTTTCAACATTTGAAGACTTGAATTGTTTTCCTTTTGACTTATATTTTGTAATAATCATTATGCTGTATATGAAAACTTCTAAACAACATGCATAAAAAATGTTTACTCTGATTTCGTTAATTATAATTCTTAACACAGTTTCGACAAATATTAATAAAATCTTTGGTTATTTTGAATAATAACTTGTGTTATTTTAAACCAGAAATCAATTCTTGTTCATATTGAACTTTTTTCTGCTCGTGTTAATGTATTTATTATGAAAGCTTGTTTTATATTCGAACACTTTTTTTGTTAGCTCTGTTGGTTGACAAGAATGATATTCACCATAAATTTTCGTACAGACTAAACACACCACGCATACTGGACTTGCAACTCAACTTAATTTGGATGTGTTGACGATGTAATATCGTTCGGAATACAATTGCAAAAAAAATATCGATATGTATAATTATCGATATATTACACCAAAATCAAAAGTTCGTCGCTGCTGAAGCCAAAAACTTATTGAATTGGCAAATAATTCGGTCAATTTTTTTACAAGATGTCCCAAAAATAATGAAAAAAAGCTGTAATAAAATTCGAGTTCCCAAGTTTTTCTGACAGTTTCAGAGCGCTAGCTGAAATAGTTTCTACGACATGTATAGACTGGATATCCTTATGTCCAGAAAATTCCGAGCTGCCGGCCAAAAGAATATGGGTCGTAGTATCTCGAAAATTCACTATATATCTAACATTAACAATTGTGTCCTATGAGTAAAATTTCATTCTGAAAACTTTTAATTAGAGGTCGGAAGTTAGTTATCATAGTAAATTTTTGTGTTATTTACGTTTTTTTTACAATTCTGATGTTTTTCGTGTTTGTTTTGTTACACAAGATCCTGTGATTTTATTGGATCCGGATAGGGTCGGAATTGATCTTCAGCCCGGGATTTTCTGGACATAAGGGCACCCCCTAAATGCCGCGCTAAATCCGATGGTTTCGACCCGGAATTTTGGGGATCCTCCTGTATGAATTCTATGAGCTCCAAGCAAATTCCGACCCTAAATTTGGTGATCTGTTGAATTTTGGTTGTACCACTAATATCATGTTACATTAATTTAAATTTATATCGATTAAGGTAATTATGACTGATGTCGCTTAACTTTCAAAGGTCATTTCCCCGACAGTCATCTAGCCTACATCATGCGAGGTGATCATTTAGCATTCTGTTTAGTTGCAGTTATATTTGGTTAGTAAATTTCACGCGGCGTGATGTCGGTTAAGTGGCCTATTGGATAAATGACCATCTGGAAAGTGAGGGACACTTGAAGATCACTGGACCCAGTGATAATCACAGCACGTGAAATCATGCAATTACGTCATTTGTTTACTAGCGCTAGCACTAACAAAATCGGCATAAACTATACTATCACCTATCCTAACACTAATCCTAACTTAGGCTGAATGATTTACCATGTGATATGATTATCACGAAGATATCACTGGGTTCAGTGATCTTAAATCTTCCCGGAAAGGGATACGTAGCCAATTATGACGTATATATATAATTATTCAGAAAATTGTTTGAATAACGGTAATTTGGTTCAACCGGGCAAATGAGCACGTGCCGCTTCGCGGTATATGTAGGGATGGGTTCGGTCACGAACGGTCACAATCATTCATAGTCAATTTGCTAAATACTTAGATGATTTTTTACTTTTGAGCTTTTAATTAAAGTTGTTCAGAATTAAATTCTGATCATCTCATATTATATGTGGAAAGAACGATACCTTCTCTGGAACTCGGAATTTCAAAATATGTTACTGCCATGACCGGTTATTGACCGACGGCTAATAACCGGTCATGGCAGTAACATATTTTGAAATTCCGAGTTCCAGAGAAGGTATCGTTCTTTCCACATATAATATGAGATGATCAGAATTTAATTCTGAACAACTTTAATTAAAAGCTCAAAAGTAAAAAATCATCTAAGTATTTAGCAAATTGACTATGAATGATTGTGACCGTTCGTGACCGAACCCATCCCTAGGTATATGTCAGCCAATTATTTGCATAGTAGAGCCAAGTTACTGTTATTCAAAAATTTGCTGAATAATAGTATTATCCGACAATTTATGACCATGATTAGGGATGGGAAAGTAATTTATTAAGTAATCAATGCTTATTTTTTATCGTTTAACTAATATTAAATAATATTACTAATGTTAAGCAAATTCTTACTTATTACTATCACATGTGATAACGGTAAGAAATGATTTAATTAAAGTTGAGATTAAATAAACATCGCTAAAAATAGAATTACCGTAGAATGACTTATTAATACTCAATGTTCAAAAAATTAGATAACATTAAGTAATATTAAATAAGAATACATAATAAAATTTCCAATCTCTATCGACTGAGTTTTAATTTGAGTAAACGTGATTATTTCATAACACCTAAAGAAAGAAATTAATGATCGTAAAAGTTTGTCGGATAATATACATTTACAGCTGTTTTCAAAAAAATTGTGGAAAGATGTAGAGAATTTACAACATTTCTCAGTTTCTAGAGTTTTCAGGGCCCGTTCTAATCAGTTCTTTAATTTTTTACTAATCAGAATTTTCAAATTCCCACATGAGTATATGGAAATCATTTCCGCATCTTTTTTTAAAACAGCTGTAATGATGGAAAATAAAGTAATAACGAAAGATGTAATACGATCATTTGAGATCTTAACCGTTAGAATACCAAACACAGCAAAAAAATTATAATAACTGAGAAATCTATTCCACTTATATTCTTTATAACCAAGACATCAAAGTCTAAAACTTATTAAAAGCGCAAAAAGACAGCGCTGTTGCATCTAAAATAGCCTCCTATCTAAAGTAGCTACTTTATATATTTGAAGCAGCCCTGACTAAAATTACGATTTAATGCATACATGAAGATTTAATTTCAGGGACTTAATTTTAGCCAGGCACTTCTTTAGATATACAAGTGATGCTTGATATAAGAAAGTTACCAGGTCCAATCAAAATCTTTCTTATAACAAGATTCTCTTATATCGAATGCTTTTTATTATAAAAATTCTCAATTGAGACTTGTAAAATCTTCTTATATCAAGAGTTTCTTATATCAAAGGTTTCATATATTGAGGGTTACTTGTATAGAGTAGCTACTTTAGATAAATCGCTACTTTAAATGAACAGTGCTACCTTAATGAACATATAACAAGTACCTTGGTATATTAATAGGGCTTTGGGTATACGTCTTCGTTTTTCTTTCCTAAACCTCTCTTTTACATAGCCCGTCCGCATATGGAGAGGTGTCAATAGAAACCAAGCAAATCGTTTCTAAGTATATTTTTTTTAAACTTTAAAGCAAAATGTCTCAACAATCATTAAACCACATTTGATAAAAATTTTTTTATTTTAATTTTATATAGCTATAGAATTAAAATAAAAAAATTTTACCAACTTTGGTTTAATAGTTATTAAGATATTTTAATTTAAAATTTTTAAAAAAAAAACTTATTAAAAACCAATTGGTTGGTTTCTATTGACACCCCACATGTACCTAGAGATGGGACACTGCGCAGCCTGCGCAGGCATTTTTTGAGGCTGCGCAGTGCAATTTTCATAATTCTGGCCAGCTTTATAAGCCAGGTTTGAATTACCAATCGGGATCAAAAACGGATCCATCGTTCATAATTCTGGTCAAACTTGCAGATCATCTGACCACATTTAAAGTTGTTTTGTTCTAGATCTGGCCAAATGATCTGCAAATTTGACCAGAATTATTAATTCACCGATATGCACAGAAAAAGTGAAAAAACCGCAAAACAACAAAAACTGACGTTTAAACTAACCTTGGAGCACTAATTAAAAATGATGGGAGCCCAACTTTACACATATAAAGTAGATGTTTTATATATATATATGCGAAACCTAATGGTAAAAGTCTTTAGGGACTGAGGCTGTGCAGTAGATTCAAAAAAACCTCATGTACCGCTTTAATTTTATTTACAGAACATCATTCTAAACTTTTGTCTAAGTCTAATTCTTATGCTTATCACTTAAATGACAAGAATAAATACCTCAAATAACAATAACAATATATAACAAAAAAATTAAACATTATGCCTGTTTTATATCCCTTAAGGCTTCGCTACCAATCCAGAAGTCTCAATGTTTTTTTGGCCAGTGTATAAAATCTGAACCCAAACGTTTGTGAATTTTGTGCACAATGTATACAGAATTATGTGAATAATTTTATTGCGCTTTGCAAAAGAGTGTGGCCCTCGCAGATCATGATAACTTGTAAAATCACGAGGAAATTGTGTGATTTTTTGATTCTAAGAGAATCTTACAGATTTCAAAATAGATAGAAATATTACTGATAGTATATATGGTTGATAGTAGGGATGTCAACGGTCGGTCACGGTCGGTTTCGGTCGGGCACCATCGGTCATGAGTCATGACCGAACCGACCGCGGTCATGACCGATGGGTAATTTAAAATTTTAATATCCAGCATTATTTAATTCATATTAGTTAATTTAAGTTACCGCATTCACCGTAATAAGCACTGTCCCCTCTGCCTATTTTATTAAATGTCAGATTTAGTGGAAACAACTTTGTTAAACATCTCATTGTGATTTCCGCTAATCTGTTGTTTTAAAAAATGAGGTAGAGGAATGGTTCTTATTTACGATAAATCTTTTTTTGATTTAGAGTTAATAAGCTAATGCGGAATAAATTTATATTTAAATTATATAATCTGTAAAAATATAATATATAGTTAATAATGTAATATGTTTTATAGAATAAATTTAATTCAATAATAGAGATTGAAAAAATCATTATTTCAAGTATAATCGATATACGATATATGAATATTTATTAAATATCATTTAACTAATTGGTTAAAGTTGTATATAACAATAATTCAGCATAATACTTATAATCAAACCTATTTTTGTATCATGATAATTATTTTACAGATCGTTACAATGATAAATAAAAAATATAGTATCGGTCAAGCGGTCGGTTCGATCGGTCAGGATTTGTGACCGAACTGGTATCGGTCACGGTCATGACCGGTCATGACCGAACCGTTGACATCCCTAGTTGATAGACTATTTAGAATCTCCGAAATTTCCCATTATCGTTGTCACGAAAATTGTGGGGTTACACTTTTTTACAAAGCGCAATAAGAATTTGTGCACTATATGATTTTTGTTATGTAATTAATTTTGTAGATAAGTTATGTGCACATTAATAATTATTATAGTATACTGTGTAGCTCAAAAGCTTATGAATTACGTGCGTATTTCTATTAAAAAAAACATGTAAAAGCATGTGCTCTGAGCATATTGTGCGCATAGATTTTATATATAGACCTCGGCAACTTTTCGTTACTACCCGGTCACGATTTTCAAAAAAGCCAATGTTTGTCATGGTACATATGCAATTTCACATAAATAGCAAATACTCGTACGTACGTATATCTTAAAATCGCATACTACGTATGCATGCTTAAAAATAAATCTTTCCCATAGTCTTACAATCCAAATTATTGATTGATAAAATATACATGCTTTTTCACACGAACAAATAGAATTATAAAAAGCTTTACAGAAACCGTCAATTTAGCAACTTTAGAACTACTTTAAAGTAACTATAATGTAACTGTGTATAGTTACTTTATAGTTAAAGTTACTACTAAATAGAAATATGCTTACTAGTATTGTTACCATTCTACTACTATTTTACTACACTATTATTACTATTTTATAAAAATTTTTAAACCTCAAAGTTACGATTTTTTAAAGTTTTTTGAAAAATAGTTGTAAAACTTATTGCTATTTTGCAGTAGCTTTAAAACCATAACTACTATAAAGTGACTATATATCTACTTTATAGTTACTTTAAAGTAGTTGTAAATTTGCTAAGTTGTCGGTTTGTGTAATGAATGTAAACAGTATTCGTGACGGACAATAATTTTATAATACGAGGATATTCTGGCAAGTATCGATATGTATCAAGGTGATCAAAATCGCCATTTTGCACTTTTTTTTCACCTAGTTATTTGCTGTGTTGAATTCAAAATTTCTTAAGTAAATTTCTACATCACGATTAAATTTCTTTGGTGTATAACGTACGTATGGCTTAAATATCAATCAAAAAAAGCAATTAAATTTCGGAAATTTATTAGTTCGGCTGATTATTTCTCTTTGCAGAAGGATGTGACTTTGTAGATCAAAATATCATGTGGTACTCTGAGATAGTTTAAGAATTTTACCGATTTTAATAAGTCTTAGAAATTTCCTTCGATCATCACAAAATTCATGAGGTATAATTTATTGCTAAGCACTATAATGAACGAAGATCTCGCTTGGCCCTACTAAGAAAGCTTGCCTTTTCCTTATTCAAGAAACTGAGTTAACTAGAATTCATTTGATATAGAATTAAATACGCATAAGTAATTGAAATATCTGTAAATACACTTAATCTGAAAATCGGTAAATTCGATATATTCTGTACTGTACTATTACTATTATAGATAAAAAGGCATATCTATATCATTTTTGAATTCCCAAATTACTATAAGCAGAATCTTAATTTTTTTCTATCTCTTTTTTCTCAGGACTCTATAATAGTTATTCACTAGCTTGAACATGGTTTACATAATAGAAATTTATCACGTAAATTATAAAAAAAAAATTCTTTATATTATTAACAAAAAGGTTACAACTATTATTCTACATTACTTTGAATAAATAGGACTGCTTTACTGTTAAATTATTTAGACTTAACTATTTTAAAAGGATTGCCTAATTGTTTTAGTCTAGTTTATCTACTAAACTAAATGACTAAAAATATTAATTAAAATTATGAAATGAAAAACAATCGTAAACTTATTCAAAGCAACTAACCCTTATAAAAAAATTCACAGTTTTGTGTATGATTTTTAGCACCAAAGTATTAATGTGTCAAACCACAAAATTTAAAAAAATTATTCTCATCTAAAACATTTCCAAAGTCTGCCGAATCCAAATTCTCAGTCATAGAAATAAAAGATGGAAGGTTCATTGTGGCTTCTAAGTAAATTTACGAGATAATTGTAAATAAATTTTGATTAATATCCAATCCAGGTTATTTAATATTTAATGATAACAGTACCTGCTGTAAAAATTGGTGGATAATCAGGTGGTGGGATAATAACATCCTTGCTGCTGAACTTTAATCGATTTATTACAAGATTATTAATAAAATAATATGAATGACTGAAAACTCATAATACGTGTAAGAATTAACAAACCATGTGACTTCGATCAGAGGCAAACACCTTGAGAAATGTTTCGAAAGGGACAACTCTATATTTTCTATAATGACTTAACTTATTAATATTGTGTTATCATTATAAAAATACAAAATACATACAACAATTCAAATTATAATACCTATTATATTCTGGCAAGTTGACAAATGACAAAGACTCACGTGCATAAGTTTCAAAATCGCATGGGAAAGAAAGGGTAGTATCAAAATCATATACCCATGACCTAAATTATTTGTAAAGTTGAATTATGACTAATACACATCATATCTCTATTAATCAAATTCTTGCCTTTTTTTATTCGAATTTTCATCATCTCCCTTCAACTCCTTCAGCAAAAGAATTACATGATAATCCTATTTGAATTTAAATCAATTAAAAGATGAAGTTTGAATATTATCGCTTTCTTTTAAATTTCAAATCTACATACCCATATAACAAATCCATCGGGACTTTTTGCGGCCTTTTGCTTCCTTATTGGCACCTAATAAACGAATTGAATATAAGAAAATATATAGGTCATCATCTTTTAAAAAAAATCATATAAATCAAAAAGTTATAACGAACCGATCGCGTTTGATTGGAAATAAAGCAAGCATAAACTTCATAGTTTCCAATACTTTTATCTAAAAGCTCAGAAAATTTTTTGCATAGATGATAAACGTTTTCTTCACAATAAAATGGCGTATAAATTAGTGAAGATTTATCCGGTATTTGCGGCGGCATTGTACCAAATATAAATATTATTATTATTATCGTAATTTAGAAAATTATTGAAATTTGTAAACCGGTAAACTGCTTTTATAAGAAATTTTTATGTCGCACAATTACGTTATCGTTACGGTTTAATTAGTCTCCTGATTTTCATACTCCGGTAAATGAATTTCTCGATTAAGATTATCGTCATGTACTAAGTAAATTCTTATTTCAAGTAGAATTTGTATCTCTTAGCATAAATTCTAAGCTTAATCCGTTTATTGATGCGCGAATTTAATTTTCTTTGTCCTTTACACATTTGCAAGCCATATGATTCGATGATCTGATCCAAACTCCAACTGAGCTAAATTATTAAAATTGTTGATGTATCAAATGCTTATACAGAAAAATTATCTTGCTTAAGATATCACGCATTTTATTTTTTTTTAACGGTAGTAAAATGTCACTTCTAAATTAAGCCTTATGCACGTGAAATACTATGAAATTTTAATGACAAAATATCATAAAGCGATAACACTCCATATTTGACCTTTAAAAAAATCAAATTTTATAACTGTAGCATGTCAACATGAAAAAAATTAAGATACAAGATGTAAGGCATAAGCGCGTTATTTCGCAAATGAGAAGTACATATCATAATATTACATTCGATACATTGAATGGATTCAATTTATTCTTTTCACTGAAATAAAATATATTAATAGAGGAAATTTTGCGCCGAGACTCTTGTTTGAAAAATTAAAGAGATATGAACGTGTTTTTTTTTCCTATCGAGTCATGGTTTTTTAAAAAATTTTTTAAACGACTCAAATCATCAAATTACCTAAATATTATGCTTTTTATAATAACTCTAGAATTAACTTTATTTGCAGAAAAATAAATCTTAAAAACGTTTACTTTGTATTCTATAAAATATATTGCGTACAAAAAATAAGATTATGTGGCATATAGATACATATCACATTCCAATTCACTCGATATCAAAGATAGTAAATAACCCAATTATTCGAACATCAATAAAAACTATATCTTTGGCTTTATTATATAATCATAAATCATTTTTATTAACCAAATAACTACCAGAAAAACTGTAACTACTATAATGCGGAATGAAACAACAACATCGTTTAATGTTCTTCCTATAAGTGAAGAAATATTTGCGTCAATGAGTTACATCTCATTGTAAAGACGTGTCGACACGTCTCTACAATGGGATATAACACGCTGAGATAGATATTTCTTCCGAAAGTATGCATACTTTTGGTTTATTGAAGCCAAAAGTATTTTCGAACAGAATTTGGTCATCGAAATGCTCAAAGTTAAAAGTACTGCCGAAAGTAAAAAGTATTACTGAACTATAAAAGTGACTAAACTTATCAAGTAGTTAAAAATGTTGCCGAAAGTTAAAAGTATTACTGTGACAACAACTTATCGAGTATCAGCATATACTAATTCATAGAAACAGACATATTTACGTAGCGCATCAGTTCAAACCTATAAAGGATTTATAAGAGGTAAAGCATATGCATATACGGCTTAAATAAACTCCAATTTAAATATTTTGTGTAAATTATATTTTAAATCTAAATATCTATGAATTTTTATATTCATGTCATATTTCTATACATATGTATATATTGTACCCATATAACCATTTCTTTGAATATTATCTAATCTACTAAAGTTCACTTACATAATCTACTTGTAGAAATCATTTAAAGTCCGTAATTTGCGGACAATAAACTAAACTAAACTAGATATGTTTGTGCAATATCGATAATTAACTTCTTTTAAGATTGTTTCGCCTTTAAAATGACCTTATGGTACATGGTAATTACTATGTCCTATAAGGTTATTTTCAAGGCCAAGACCCCAAATATTGTGAATTGCTGAATTTTACAGATCATTGTCGTTATTAGATGTTTTTCAAAAAAAGGTATAAATAGACGCAGATCACCATATCACGGGAAATTCATAAAAATCAGACTTCCAGAATTTTCGAAGTCACTATAATCGGATCTTTATGTTACTTTTAAAAAAGCCTATGCAGGAACTCGAAGAATTAGAAAATCATTTTGATTAGCAAAAATTATAGATGTTTTCATATGACAAATTCACAAAGTTTCTTAGATTCCAGAAACTTCACAGCCTGTTCTAATCTGATCTTTACTAATCAAAATTTCCAGGTGATTTTGTTTCTCACGTGGGTAAATGGAAATCCTTGCTATAAAAATATAATTATAGCGGGCTTTGAAAATTCTGGAAATCTGGAAATTTCATGAATTACCCATGATATGGTGATCAGTATCACACCGTAAATCAAAATTACCTGATTCCCCGATCTCCTAAATTTCTGATTTTCTTAAGTATAGTTTTTTACAATAGATATACGTATAAGTGCAGTATGATGTCAATAACGTCATGCTCATTATGTAAACAAATCAGCAATCGTCTAATAATCAAGTGATTTCTTTTTTCTTTAAAGATCTGCAAATTTACAAACCACAATAATTACGTATATTGGAAATGATTATCAGAAAAGCCTATCACAAAAAATCCGAAAATTTTGACATTTTACTTTGCGGGAGATGTGACGTCATGATTTTCGTGATGGTGATCAGAGAAAATTTCTAAGATTCTAGATTGCGTTATATTTATTTTAAACTCTTAAAATCTACAGAATTTCCGATTCTTGTATGACATAGTGATCCACAGAACACTTATTTTTGCAAAGCTCCAAGGTTCTTATATTAATATTATCTTTAGTAGTACACTAAATGTTAGGTTTACAAATCATGTCAAAGTTCATGGTTTTTGGGGGGATTTTGCCATTATTCTACCCAGCAATCTGTAAATTTTACAAGTCCTTTCAAGGTGTGAACAATTTCCATATACCTATCGCTGCGTAAAAATTGAAGAACCGAGAAAGAACTAGTTTTGAAATTCTGGAAATCTGGGAAAATTTCCGTGTATGATGACCTGCATCTGTTCACATATAAAATTACATAGCATTATAATAAAATTTCTAAATTGCTCGGGAGGATCACACTGATATAGCGAAGAATCCGCTTTAAAGTGGTCCACTATAATGAGGGTAAACCATATACAACTAGACATAATACTATTGTAGTTCGCAAAGGTGTGACCTTTGCAGATTATTATGTCATATAAGATCACAGAAAATGATCAGATCTTCAATTTTTGCTATTAATAATTTCCCGATTCTTAATTTCTCACATAAATATATGTCATTCTCACCTTTTTGAAGCAGGCTGTAAAATGTGAAATTTCCCGTTATCATTATCACAAAAATCACGGGATAACACCTTTCGCAAAGCATTTTAAAGAATAAAATATAATCGGGAATCTTGAGAATTTTTAGACAAGTTTATTAGGTTAATTCATTACGATGTTTTCAAAAAGATGTGGAAGATGATTTCATATACCCATGTTGGAGTCGAAGAAAATTACTGTTTCAAAAAAATGTGAACAATGATTTCCATACATCTATGTGGGAAATCCAAGCATCAAGAAATTCTAATTAATAACCAATTTTAGTACTTTAACGGTGGTTATACAAAGGGTGCCTAATTAGGGCTTAGTTAGGATTAGTTTTTGGGTTCTGAACACTTTACTTGGTACGTTTTGAGATATAGTACCTCCAGTTGTATAGCCACCGGCAATAGATAGCAAGCTCTTAATTAAAATCTAAAATTAAAATCCAATTAGAAACTTCATGAATTTCTTGTAATATGGTGATTTGCATCTGCTCCTTTTTGAAAACAGCTATAAATATTTGATTAGAGCTGGTTTGGAAATCTGGGAAATATCGTGAATTCCCCATGATATGATGATATGCATCTTTCTGCAACTTTTTTCAGAAAGGTGTGAACTAATTTAAACTTTTTTATATCAATAATATTAGGATTCCATTTTCAACCAGTAACACTAATATGGAAGAGCGTCATATGTAGATGCCCGATACAAGTTGTAAAATTACCATATTTTACACATGTTAATTTATGTAAATTAATTTTCGTCATTTAAATACCAGATGTAATTAATACTACACCCACATTGGAATCTAATTTACCAGACTTACGTAAACTTTCATAAAATATAAACATGTAATTTTTGTAGCACAACCCCAGCCGATTATGAACTAGAATTATTTTGGTTACAGGCGTGGTCGCACTTTAGTGAACGATACTTAAAATTGAATGAAATTAAAGGTTACTAACAGATTGGCAAGTCTATACTTCCGTTCCTGAGAACAAATAATCATTATTTAGAAGATTTTAGCAATGATTATTAGAAATGGATTTGCCCGGTCCAGTCTCTGATCGATTAAAATAATGCTTTTTTCTCCCAAAAAATGGTCATAACTTACAAAGATTGGTCTAAACTATTTTCAAGAGTGGAGACGTATACACGGTAACTTGGTTCATCCAGGCAAATGAACACATGCTGCTTCGTGACATGTGTCAACCAACAATTTGCCCGGTTAAGCCAAATTACCGGGAGTTGTCGGTTTAGTTTTAATTCGAGTAAATGGTACTCGGAATATGTGTACCAGGTTTGTGGCGCAGACGAAATTCTTAAAAGTTTGTCAAGATTAGGGTTAGGGTCAGAATTATGTGTTAGAGGAGAGTAGTATACATAGTTAGATTGTCCAATGAAAACTTTTTGTTAGAGCACAAAAGGTGATTCTTATACTGATTTTTGAGTTATGAGCGATTTTTGGCAGAATCATACCACGAATTACATGAATGATAAACCAGTCAGTGTGAGAATCTTTAGATTGATTTGACATATGTATGTGCCGTTTCTGATTGGATAAAGTAGATACGACAAGCAATCAAATAAGGTCCAGTGTAACATAAATTTTTTTTTTAAAAAAAAAGTACTTTTCGTGTCCTAACAAACAAATTCATTCCCAAATTTTAGTATAGGATGTCCTTATTCTTACTGCTCACTTTATCGCACTCATTTTGTAGACATAACATTTCACCGAAAAAATTCGCCGACATGTTTTATTTCACCAACATTTGATTGACTGACAAGTTCATTTCACTGACAATTTATTTCACAGAAGTTCTGCACATTGTCGTTAGGGTTAAGTTAAAAATTAGAGTTAATGTTAGTGTAAGTTATAAAAAAAAATTGTCTGTGAAATGAGCTTCGGTGAAATGAACTTGTCAGCCAAATAAGTGTCGGTGAAATAAAACATGCCAAATTTTGTCCGGTAAAATGTTATGTCTACGAAATGGATGTCATTGAAGTGATCGTTTTATTAGACATTGGATTGCTTTAACGATGTTTTAACATACGTTATTCGGCCTTATGGCATGAATTTGAGGTAGCAAAGTCATGCAGAACAAAGTCAGGAAACATGCGATTGCCAGTTTCTTCTGACCCTACCATGCAATTACTTAATGTAATCAATAATTTTTTATTGCTCCGTTAAACGTTATCTGTTGTATTTGAATCAAATTCGTCAATATATTATATTTACAATGACTTATTCAATAGTTGGTCTTTAATTTATCTTTATTATCAGGATATCTTTGCTTAAAATCTTTGTAGTTTATATTTTAAAAATAAATTAAAGAATTATAATTTGGTGCACCATGCATCATTGTGCACCCGTCACGTGATCTCATTATTTAAAAAATGATTTTTGGATTTTGAATTTAAATGGTTATTTGTGTCATTTATTACTCGTCTATACAGGTATTCTTTATAACTAAGGTACTGAATGAATCTTTTGCTTTTTTATATTACTCTAAATCAAGAATCACATTACAAATAAAATGATTTCTGGATTTAAGTGTTACTCACACCTCAAGTAGTGTCTACACAGATAAGTATGAATTTAAATGATTATTCACATCATTTATTACATGTCTATACAGGCATTCTTTATATCACTTTTTATATATACTAAAGTACTGAATAAATTTTTTGTTTTTTAAATTACTCTAAATTAAGAACCATACTACAAATAAAATTATTTCCAAATTTAAGTGTTACTTACGTCTCAATTAGTGTCAGCACAGATAAGTAATACAATTTAATTTCTTTTGCTTTTTACATATATTAAAGTACTAAAACAAGTTTTATAACTTTTAGATTATTTTATCAAGAATTACATTTTTGCTAAAAGTATTATAGGTATTATACAAATTTTCAAAAAATCATAAGCAAGAAGTTTGCAATTTAAAACTGTCAGGTTTATGATTGTCAGAATTCTGTTAGTCAGGAACTCAAATAGATTTTTTTGCTTAAATTTGTTATTACTAATACTGAGTTTACTAATATTATTCTTATAAATTTTTTTCTAAAACAAGTTTAAATCAAGATTATAGCATTAAACAAAAATCAAGATTTATAAAAAAATATAATAAGGATGATATTGATATAGCAACATATTTTGAGAAAATTTCTCATTGCAGTGAGAATATAAGTAATATGCATAATAATGCAAAGATAGTATCTTTAAAGAATAGAAATTCTTTTAAAAATTTTGAAGAAACTAAGCTTACATATGATATTTTGCTAAATATAAAGAGTTTAAGATATGACTTAGGTATTTGAAAACAATAAATACAGCAGAAAATGAAAAGATAATTTAAAAACAGATTATTCTTTGCAAACATTTAGGTTTATTTAAACTAAAAGATAGTGTAAAGTAAAGTATTTTAATCTATATAATATATCTATAGTATATTAATCTTTTATATTCTTTAAAAGATAATTTTGATTTTTATATAATTGTTGCTATTTTTAATAATAATCATAATTATAATCTATTTTATAAAACGATACAGTTTGAAAAAAAATAATTTACTAAAAAAATGTAATAAAAATTTGAATTTTTGATTACTAAATGCCAGCTTAGTATAAACATGATATGAAATATCTTAAAAAAATTTTTCATTTTATCTCCTGTTTTTTAAGGATTTTTATATTGAAATATAACAATATTGATTATCAAATAATATAATTAAAAATAATATATCATATTTTTATAATTAGTTATTGTCAAATAACAAGAAGATTTTTATTGATTTATTAAAATTATATATGAAGATAAAACTAGTATATTAACAAATTTGTTTTAAATAAATCCAAAATAAATTTATTATAGTATAAGTTTAGTGAATCAATTGATTATAATAACATAGCAGATACCAATAGGTACAACATATCACTTTTTTTGTTTATAATTTAGAATGATAATATGCAATCTCATATTATTATTCAAACTTTTGTTAGTAATAAGACAATTGAAACATACTAATAAGTTCTTTAAATAACAAAAAAAATCTATTAATAATAGATATTCTAACATTTTTATAACTGATAGTGATCCAACAATAGAACAGACAGTAATACTAGAGTACTTAGAAATGTAACATCTTTTTTGTATTTGACATATTAAGAAAAATATAAAAAAATATTATTTAGTAAGTTAAGAGGTTTATTTAATAAGTTTTGTAATAAATCTTGATAATATAAAAATATAAATATGTTACATAGTTTGGGTACTATTAGGATCAAATTATAAGTTTTCCTAATTCAAGATTGTATCTTGAATGTTATCTTTATGAATATTAATTTTTATGAGCATATGCTTTTATTATAATAGTATTTATACTTAGTATTTAATCTATGTTTTTTGTCAAAAATCAAAATACATATATCAAGAGAATGTTAGAAAACAATAATATATCATTATCTGAATTAGATAAAATACTAATGGAATGAAGTAATAAGAAGCAAAAACAAAAGCAATTTGAAGAATAGAAACAAGATACTCTTTTTTCAGCAAATGTTGTTATTACTTTTTCTATTATTGAATCTTTAGTAAAATATTATTTAAAATTGAATGTTTCTTATTTTTTAATAAAACAAATGAAGGAAAGTTTGTATTATATGACCAGTCATTCTATAGTTGAAGAGGTCAAGTTACTTATCATTTATAAATTATCACAAAATAAAGACATAAACCCATCTCTAATTGTAACTCAAAGCTGGAGTTCTCATATTGAATGATTATATATGGGTTTCAAATAAACGTATATAACAGTAGATTTTTATCTTCATAATTACAAAAATTCAACCATTAAAAACCATTAAAGAAATTTATTATGTATTGTGTATATGCAACTGGAAAACTTGACTATTTCTAGTTGTGACACTAAATTCACCATTATATTTATATCTTATGGGAAAAATGCCATAACTTCGTTCCTAGTTTCGTCAACTAAGTTGCGCAGCTATCAGTATTGTATTCAAAACCTTATCGTACTGACTAAATTAGGGGCCTTGTGCTCACGTGATTTTTTATATGTAGATCAGCCAATAAAAAATCTTACACGGATCAGCCCGAAGAAGTTAAAAAATCAAAAAACCCCAGTATAAACCTGTCTTCGCGCATTAATAAAAAATGTCGGGAAAGCAATTTTACCTGTATACCTATTCTTGCCCTAAATACTAAACCTAACCCTAAGGCCGCTTGTAATTGAATTTTCGGTTGACATCACTTTTAGTACTCTTGGGAGGGGGGGGTAAAATTAAACGAACATATAGAACGAACAAATATGAGACAATTTGATTGGTCGATGTAAATCAAGAGAATGATGAGATTTATTCAGCGTTTCAATTGGTTGTTCGTCTCGGGGGAGCCTTCAGCTGGGGGGTGACAACTTCGAACGGCCTAATTATAATTAAAACTTTAGCGATCCCCCTAAATTAGTCTATGATCGTCATGCATTATAAATGCACATGATAGTAATATCGTAATAGCATAATAGATAATAGATTCCTTAAATTCGTCGTACATTATCAAAGTTAGACTTGTTACAAACCCGTATCAACCTTATTGAATTAAGGTTAACCGTATATTTGTCCCATGCATAGTAATTTTAGTAATCTACTGATAAATTGTCTATCACCACATTCTCACGCTTTCCGAAAGCTTTGCCATTAAATACTTATTAAAGAGAAGCCTCTTATGTTTACGGCTTAGAATTGAAATTATCAATAAAAACTTGGAAGCTTCTCCCCGAACTGTAACACCGCGAATGCACCCCTTCAATTAATGCTGCACATTTTGCATTCATGCTGTACTTTACATTGATGCACACTTTCATCAATACTACGCCACTTGTATTAATGTTATAAAGCTGGAAAATTTATTATATTCTCTGATCATTGAACAAATTCAATTGTAGTTCTAACAAAATGACTGATAAATGTTTTGTGATCGGTGCGCTTCTTTATGAAGATTATGATATTTTGGACTATAACGGTACAATTCGTTTTTTAGGAAGTTTATATGAAGAACAGAATCTTAACGTAAAAATAATTACAATTTCTCAAAACGGAGGAAAATATGATTCGCGCAGCCAATGTTCTAATTGGTCGGATTACTCTTTTGATAACTGTCCTGAATTTAATGTTCTGTTAATACCAGGTATTCTAAACATTATTTATTATAGTTTTTATGTTGGAGGTTGATGTATTTCTTAAATATTTATAAGGTGGTCGGGGATATATTAAACATGGAATTGAAAACCCAGTCCTGATGGACTTTATCAATAAGTGGATTCCAAAAGTAGAATACGTTTTGATGGTTTGTACAGCAAGTGCTATTGTTGCAAAGACAGGTTGGTGAATATCTTTTTCGATAAAATCATCTTATAGATTTTAGCTTTTCTTTTTGGTTTAAATGATGAAAATTCACAGGTCATTTAGATGGTAAGAATGCCACATCAAATAAAACCACTTTTGATACGGTTGTCTGTTATGGTTTGTATTAATTATTTTGTCTATTCAAGTAATTATTAACATCATGTGGAATAATTGAGTATCAAAATTTTTAGGCCCCAATGTGAAATGGATTAAACATGCTAGATGGGTTGTTGATGGAAAGTTCTATACATCAGGTGGAGGTAAATATGCGATTATGCAGTCCATGTAGTTTGTCAAATTATTCCTGTATTTATATTACCATCAAATTATTTCATTTTTTTTTATTAAAGTATCTGCTGGTAACTATTTTTCATTTATTAAATTTTAATCTTGTAAAGCATTATTTTATTTTGTTATTTATCTAATCAAAACTGTTAGGAATGGACATGGTGCTTGGTTGGATTTCGGATGTATTTGGCGAAAAATATGCGCTTGCAGCTTCTCATTTTGCAGAATACGTGTGGAATTCTAATCCTGCTTTAGATCCCTTTTCTGGAATGAATTTTAAACAAAATTCAGGAATTTTAGATTTTCAGCTTTCTTCAAAATGTTAAATCACAGCACAATGCAATTTTAGGTCCGACGCATTAAAGGGTTTATTGTATTAAAATATTATTTAAAAATGATGTCTATTATTTTAAGTCGAAATATAATTTTTTTAAGAAAAATTTAAAAGCATAGGCTCGAGAAGTTTATTTTATGGTTGCAAATTTTGTGAAATATGATCACCATTACAGTCTTGATTATAATCAGCGCTGCGGCCAAACTGAAACTTTGCCCAAGCGAATCTCCGAAGCAAAGTTTTGACAGAACCCGTAAATCCAAAACTGGTAAAGCCTCCGAAACTGGACGAAACTGCAAAATCTGAACGAAACATGACAATCTGACTTACTCTTAGTAATATCCAACATAGGTCATGGTATAGAAAGATCACCGTTTGGTACTTGTCTTCAAATAGAGTTTTTCTAGTACATTACCTCTATTAACTTGACAAATTTCAGAAGTTCGGGCAGATTCAGGTTTTGCTCAATTTCGCCAGTTTCGCCCAGTCTTAGAGGTTTTCATATACAGTATTATTTTTGCAACAAGTACAATTATACTATGTTTTTAGTTTTGTATAATAAAGATACTTTATTTTTTAAATTGATTAGAAAATTTACTAAGATTCTTAAACTAGTTATGCGTAGCTTTAGCATATTTAAAGAAAATAAGACTAATAGTCTATTTTGATAATATGAATACGTGAGAGTGAAAACCTGCAAAACGATCATAGTAAATCAATAAATCGGTTTCCAGGTTTTCACCTCACGCACTCATATTTTAAGGGTAGGGTGTCATATTTTAAAATTATATATAAACCTAATGGTAAATTTTTTTTATATTTAATTTTATGAAATATTATATTAAGTAACCTAATTTTAATTATTAAGTAAAAGTTGTAGAGTAGGTCTTTCTGATTCTAATGATAGTAAAATTATCAAAATAGGTTAAAAACTCATTG